CAGCCAAGGAGCCAACGGCACAGCGACACCGTCACGCGCTAACTCAGAGACAGGAGAACACATCCAGGGGCTCCCATCCCACTGGAGCTGCTCCCAGCTCAGGAGGTGGGCAGTGCCCACCCAGCCCAAGGGGAGAGGATGAGCACAAAATCCCAGTTTGTACATAAGGACAAAAACACCCTAAGCTGTAGCAATTTTGTCTCTTTGGTGCAGAAGGGTTGGGTGAGGCTCCCTGGGGACTGTGGCAGGTGTGACACCACAGGAGGCGACAACTGCTGGCCTTGGTAGTGGCAGCACAGGAAGGATATGGACCTGATGGAGTGAATCCAGAGGAGGCACCAAGATGATTAGAGGGATGGAGAACCTCTGCTTTGAGAAAAGGCTGAGAGAGGTGGGGTTGTTCAGCATGGAGAAGAGAAGCTTTGGGGTGATCTAATTGAGGCCTTCCAGTACCTGAAGGAGCCAGTGAGAGAGCTGCAGAGGGACTTTGGACAAGGGCCTGGAGTGACAGGACAAGGGGGAATGGCTTCCCACTGCCAGAGGGCAGGGACAGATGGGATATTGGGAAGGAATTCTTGGCTGTGAGGGTGGTAGAGGCACTGGTACAGGTTGCCCAGAGAAGCTGCAGCTGGTCCATCCCTGGGAGTGTTCCAGGTCAGGTTGGATTGGGCCTGGCGGGAAGGTGTCCCTGCCCATGGCAGGGATGGGACTGCATGAGCTTTAAGGTCCTTCCAGCCCAAACCATTCTGGGATTCTATGATTTCGAACCTCAGGCGTTTGGGAAGCGTGACCCAGGGGTGGGGATGCTCCTTGGTGGCCCTGAGAGGTGTCACTGTGCTCCTTGGTGTGGCACATGCTGCAGGCACTGTGCCATGAGCACGTGGGAGGTGTGTGGGCTGCAGGGAGGCCGATCCCAGCCTTCCCCTCCCCTTGGCTCCCTAAACAGTGTCACTTTGCTCTGCCTGCTGCCAGTGCGGTGCCCTGTCCTCCCGGGGTGGGGAA